GGACCCATCACTGGTCGCTGTAGAGAGTGACGAGTTATCGGATCCAAACGATGGACACAATGTCTATCAATTGAAGTATAAGAAAGAGTCAACCCTTGCGTCATATCAAACGCGTGAGAAATTGATGATTATTGATATGATTATGAATGGCGACCAAAGAGTGAGTGTCGCGACAGAGAAGGGCAAGAGTGAGGTCTGGAACCGATTTGAACGCATTCTTGTGGACCAAATGCCTTCGCTATACGTGAAGTGCAAACATTGTGATAGTATTCATAAACACACCCACACTGTGGGCACTAAAGGACTACTTAAACATCGCTGCAAGACATTCACCGAAGAGGACATGATTGACAGCAAACCCACTCAGAAAACTCTGATTATAGACGACAAGACTTTAATCAAACAATTGACTGAAGAGACCAATAGTCTAAAACTTATTGTTGAAAAGTGTCTGCAAATGATTGACAACTGTTTTTGTGACAATAAGTATAGCTCTGACCAAAGGAAAGAAGTCAATCAATTGCTTAACGATTATAACAAATTTGTCTCAAAAACTCAAACTTATGAATCAATTGTTACACCAAAAAACCGGAACACAGAATCAGACGCTAATACAGCGTTTGATAATTCAGTGATTACTACTAAAAGTGGTCCAAAGATTGGTTATAAAGTTGTCAATAGATCTCATTTTATTCAAACTAAGAATCGCAACAGAAATCGAGTTTTAAAATCAATCAAAACTAAATATATTAAAGGATGGAGATATGTGTGCGAATGGCCCGGTATAGTACACAACACACAACACATTTACAGTATATTGTATAACAGTTTAAATGTTTAATTATCTTAAAGGATGTGAAATGAAATTTAGATTAAACTCTAAACTTCGGGAACACAGCGATACCATTCATTTAGGCCTTAAAACTTTTATATGCGATTGGGTTTGTATTGAATGGTTATAGGAATGAATGGATTAATTGATTATATAATACCTTCAGCCCGGCTGTGAGGAGCAGTTTGAGAAAAAGGTTCACTTAACCAGACATACCATCAAATGTCACACACACGACCATCCTTTCAAATGTGATGAGTGCTCCTTTGGGTCCAATTATAAAGGTATTGCCACTCAACTCAACAATTGATTCATAATTAACAACTTTATCTCATTAATAGCTCATCTAATATACCATCAAAGAAGTGTTCATTCATCGGAAAAGGCATTCCTGTGTGATTGGCCCGGTATGTGTCATCTCTAATCTAGATATAACTATTATTGATTTGTTTAAATTTTCTTTTATTAAAGGCTGTGATTTTGGCACTAATTATGAAAAAGTTCTGAAAACACATAAATACACTCATTCTGGAGAAAAGCCATATAAGTACTACAGAATTGATACTTGAATTATTGATGACATTGAATTGTTAATACCATAATTGTATTTCATATTGAAATGCAGATGCAATTGGCCCTCTTGTGAGTGGACCTTTCGACAGCCCCATCACTTGAAGGCACACACACTTAAACATACGGGTCAGACAATGAGCCAAACAATTGATTTGAGTTATCATTTAGATTCTAATATTGGCTCAATTATTAGGTGAACGTCCGGTTAGTTGTCAACACATTAGTTGCGACCGAAAGTTTACTTCACGACAGGCGATGAGGTTTCACATGCAAAAAGTTCATAACACTGTAGTCTAATTCAAATGATCGCTACTTTCAGTCATTTCAAATTTAATGATCTTGTTTTTTACTTTTAATCCATTGCTTTTCTACTTAATATATATTCAATAAATGTAAATGATTTGATATTTAATATAACATTTACTATTAAGTTAATACATTCTATGTAATCAAAGTTACAATAAGTTTTAATTAAAGCAATTTCAACATTAACGGTACAACTATAATTACTATACATGTACATAACATATACTTTAATATGCAATAAATTTAAATATAGTATTATATTATGTAAAGGATTGTTAAATGAGTTTGAGGTTTGGGTGATGTGTTCAATACAAACCCTGTATTACAGAGAAAATGAGTGAAAGTATTGTATGATTGCATAAAAGCTGCACAATTGGTGTGAATATAGGATTGCGTAACAGTATATGTGATGAATGTTTTGCCATCCATTCAGTCATCACTCCATCCACTCCTGTGTCCAACCAATCGATTATTTGTTTGGATTCACAATTCATTTGATTCATCGCTTAAGTCACCACATGTTGGACACAATCACTGGCGAGTAGTGATCGGTGTTACCATAAATTGTCCCAAATGTCAAACTCGTGAGTATTGCGTGCATTGATTGGTGGAAGTGTTGCTAACGGCTAAGTATTGACAGGAATGGTATATACGGCCAAACATATGACAGATATGTCGAGCGATACGACGACTCGACGCTCTCACGCATGCAATGCCAGTATTGGACAACAAAACAGGCGTTTCTTCGGAAACTCAAACGAAAAGAAGACGATTGTGTCGTCGCCTCCGACGCCGAACTCGACGCCAAACTCGAGGTATGAATCGATGGTGTGTTGAGTGATATTGTAATCTCATTGGCAATGATTTGACGCGACAGTTGTTGCGGTCNCGAAGGACTCAATCATGTCTGACATGTGGTTCGCCCGCCGGAGACAATACGCCTGACTCTGGGTCTCAGCCATGGATCCGATGGTCGACGAGATGTCCGAAGAAACCACTGAATACTCTTTCAATTGATTGCCTTTCAATACACAGTAAACGAGCATTAATTCAATCAGTGCTCCGAACAGTGTCTTCAGTGCGAGTGTGGATCAGATGGACATCGGATGGCAGCGGAGGTCACAAACAATTGTCAACAAAAACACACAAAACGTCAAAAAGTTTATGTCTTTTGTGTTGTTTTGCGAATCAAAACATTTTCTCTTTATTTAACATTCAATCCATTCATTGCTTTTCAATGCAAAACACTATTCAATAATTATGACTCTTTTGGCACACATTTTACACTCAAAACGCATTCAAATGCATATAAAAGGGGCAAAAGAGTGGACACAAAATGTGACGTATTTTATGCGTCAAGTAATTGACTGAAAGTGTGGTTCGTTTTCCACAAACCGTTATATAAATGCGTTCACAAAAGACGTGACACTTTTGCCCCCCTTTTGGTTGATATTGTTTTTGTTGACATTTGATGTTTAGTTCCCATAATATCTTCGCAACGATTTAGTGATGGCTTTGGTTTCAAATGATTATCACTTTGAAGACGAGCTCCTCATCGACAAGGAGTTCATCGGCGGTCAAATCAAGTATAACAGCAATCGGTTGTCTTATGAGAGCAAATGTGGGAAATCCAAAGTGTGGAAGCGTTTCGTCCACGTCTTGTACGACAACAAAGTGACCGCTTTTGTCAAATGCATATATTGTGACACAATTATCACAAAGACCTCCTCTTCCGGCACTTCTGGTCTTCTCAAACATAAATGCAAACAAATGAAGGCTTTGGGGATCGACTTAACGCTTGATGAAGAAGTCACTCACAAAGACGTCCACCCTTTAGGTGACGCTACGGACCCATCACTGGTCGCTGTAGAGAGTGACGAGTTATCGGATCCAAACGATGGACACAATGTCTATCAATTGAAGTATAAGAAAGAGTCAACCCTTGCGTCATATCAAACGCGTGAGAAATTGATGATTATTGATATGATTATGAGTGGCGACCAAAGAGTGAGTGTCGCGACAGAGAAGGGCAAGAGTGAGGTCTGGAACCGATTTGAACGCATTCTTGTGGACCAAATGCCTTCGCTATACGTGAAGTGCAAACATTGTGATAGTATTCATAAACACACCCACACTGTGGGCACTAAAGGACTACTTAAACATCGCTGCAAGACATTCACCGAAGAGGACATGATTGACAGCAAACCCACTCAGAAAACTCTGATTATAGACGACAAGACTTTAATCAAACAATTGACTGAAGAGACCAATAGTCTGAAACTTATTGTTGAAAAGTGTCTGCAAATGATTGACAACTGTTTTTGTGACAATAAGTATAGCTCTGACCAAAGGAAAGAAGTCAATCAATTGCTTAACGATTATAACAAATTTGTCTCAAAAACTCAAACTTATGAATCAATTGTTACACCAAAAAACCGGAACACAGAATCAGGCGCTAATACAGCGTTTGATAATTCAGTGATTACTACTAAAAGTGGTCCAAAGATTGGTTATAAAGTTGTCAATAGATCTCATTTTATTCGAACTAAGAATCGCAACAGAAATCGAGTTTTAAAATCAATCAAAACTAAATATATTAAAGGATGGAGATATGTGTGCGAATGGCCCGGTATAGTACACAACACACAACACATTTACATTATATTGTATAACAGTTTCAATGTTTATTTATCTTAAAGGATGTGAAATGAAATTTAGATTAAACTCTAAACTTCAGGAACACAGCGATACCATTCATTTAGGGCTTAAAACTTTTATATGCGATTGGGTTTGTATTGAATGGTTATAGGAATGAATGGATTAATTGATTATATAATACGTTCAGCCCGGCTGTGAGGAGCAGTTTGAGAAAAAGGTTCACTTAACCAGACATACCATCAAATGTCACACACACGACCATCCTTTCAAATGTGATCAGTGCTCCTTTGGATCCAACTATAAAGGTATTGCCACTCAACTTAACAATTGATTCATAATTGGTAACAACTTTATCTCATTAATAGCTCATCTAATATACCATCAAAGAAGTGTTCATTCATCGGAAAAGGCATTCCTGTGTGATTGGCCCGGTATGTGTCATCTCTAATCTAGATATAACTATTATTGATTTGTTTAAATTTTCTTTTATTAAAGGCTGTGATTTTGGCACTAATTATGAAAAAGTTCTGAAAACACATAAATACACTCATTCTGGAGAAAAGCCATATAAGTACTACAGAATTGATACTTGAATTCATGATGACATTTAATTGTTAATACCATAATTGTATTTTATATTGAAATGCAGATGCAATTGGCCCTCTTGTGAGTGGACCTTTCGACAGCCCCATCACTTGAAGGCACACACACTTAAACATACGGGTCAGACAATGAGCCATACAATTGATTTGAATTTGTCATTTAGATTCTAATATTGGCTCAATTATTAGGTGAACGTCCGGTTAGTTGCCAACACATTAGTTGCGACCGAAAGTTTACTTCACGACAAGCGATGAGGTTTCACATGCAAAAAGTTCATAACACTGTAGTCTAATTCAAATGATCGCTACTTTCAGTCATTTCTAATTTAATGATCTTGTTTTTTACTTTTAAACCATTGCTTTTCTACTTAATATATATTAAATAAATGTAAATAAATGTAAATGATTTGATACTTAATATAATATTTACTATTAAGTTAATACATTCTATGTAATCAAAGTTACAATAAGTTTTAATTAACAAGCAATTTCAACATTAACGGTACAACTATAACTACTATCGTATGCATGTATATAACATATACTTTAATATGCAATAAATTTAAATATAGTATTATATTATGTAAAGGATTGTTAAATGAGTTTGAGGTTTGGGTGATGTGTTCAATACAAACCCTGTATTACAGAGAAAATGAGTGAAAGTATTGTATGATTGCATAAAAGGTGTACAATTGGTGTGAATATAGGATTGCGTAACAGTATATGTGATGAATGTTTTGCCATCCATTCAGTCATCACTCCATCCACTCCTGTGTCCAACCAATCGATTATTTGTTTGGATTCACAATTCATTTGATTCATCGCTTAAGTCACCACATGTTGGACACAATCACTGGCGAGTAGTGATCTGTGTTACCATAAATTGTCCCAAATGTCAAACTCGTGAGTATTGCGTGCATTGATTTCGGTGGATGTGTTGCTAACGGCTGAGTATTGACAGGAATGGTATTTACGGCCAAACATATGACAGATATGTTGAGCGATACGACGACTCGACGCTCTCACGCATGCAATGCCAGTATTGGACAACAAAACAGGCGTTTCTTCGGAAACTCAAACGAAAAGAAGACGATTGTATCGTCGCCTCCGACGCCGAACTCGACGCCAAACTCGAGGTATGAATCGATGGTGTGTTGAGTGATATTGTAATCTCATTGGCACTGATTTGACGCGACAGTTGTTGCGGTCGATTGACGAGTCGTGTCAGAACCTGATCCTAGTGTTGGAGGCATATCAGGACCGCATCTGCGGTTTGGCTCACGAAGAGTCGGCCGCCGGACGCTTCCTCAAGGAGTGCTCCAAACTGGACAAGACTCGGGCCGGGAAAATGATGGCCGCGTCCGGTAAGACCATGTGCTATACAGCCCAACAACGGATCCAATTGCGGAACCCATTGGTGCGACTCTACCAAGAAGTGGAGACATTTCAATACCGAGCGGTGGCCGACACTATGCTAACCGTCGATAAGATGGAGTCCTCGCGAACCGCATATCGCGCGGCACTCCTGTGGATGAAAGACGTGTCCGAGAAGTTAGATCCGGACACTTATAAACAGTTGGATAAGTTTCGTAAAGTGCAGAGTCATGTCCGCAAAACAAAGGTCCGCTTCGATCGCCTCAAAGTGGATACTCTCCAGAAGATTGATCTGTTGTCGGCCTCGCGTTGTAATATGTATTCCAACGCTTTGGTCGGTTATCAGAACTCTTCGGTTCAGTTCTGGGAAAAGTCGTCCAAAACGATGGCCGCCGTCGCCGACACTTTCAAGGGATACCAATATTACGAATTCACGACACTTAAGGAGTTGACCGAAACGAGCAGAAAGTTGGCCGAAGACACCGCTAATAACGATGACATTCGGAAGATCTTTGACGACAACGATGACGACGAAGACAAGGATCGGCTTATTTTCTTTGAGGCCGATTATAGGGACGACGACTCCACCAATAAAGCCAATAAAGATAACAAGAAATTTAAACCATTTGGCAGAAAGACTTCGACTCAAAACAAACCAAAAGCTGTTCCCCAAAAGAGCTTTGATTCCAAAGCAAACAATTCATTACTTGATCTCAACTTTGATTCCAAAGGAGACAATAGTTTGAAAAATAGTTTAAAGACATCGGAAGCGCAACAAAACACTGATATTTTGACTCTAAGTGACACAAAAATGGATGACTTGAGTCTCTTGAATGAGATATTGAACGCACCGAACGCTCCCATTATTGAGACCAACGCCAGTACGGGTGCTATCGGTGGGGCACCCAATACAGGGGCCACTGGTGTCGATGCGTTTATGCCGAGCCAACTCATTGACTTGAATTCATTCAATTACTCAATGAATCAAATGAACGCATCGCTGAATCCAATGACCAGAAGAGAGAATTTGGTCGAAAAGAACAAAAACGTCAATTTGAATGCAAATAAGGATAAAGTTAGTGATCATTGAATCAATTTTAATCATTTTATATAATTATATAATTACGCAAATGTTTATTATTATAGGCAACCAAAAAGGCTGAAGAACTGTCCTCGTGGTTCAACCTCTTTGCAGACTTGGATCCGCTCGCGAATCCCGACGCCATCGGGAAAAAGGCGGACCAAATAGAAGAGAGAAATTGCTAATCAAATTCGGAGCTCTTTATTAATATATAATTATTAATAATTTATTATTTAAACTATTGTTTATTCCAATTATTTAACGTAATATTGAAGTCTATTATTATCTCAAATCTAGTCATAAAACTAATCAATGACTTCTTTAATTTAACTCAAATTCCAAATCAGTATTACTTTTCAATTGTGTTATTTTTAAAGCGCTTATATTTAAGCAAATTTTACTCTTTGTTATTAAATATATTTATAAATTGTATTCAAATGTGAATTAAAATGACTTGCATTTAGTTGAAACACCCAATGCTTTATTTCAGAGCACATGTGAGACAACACATCACAAAATGTCCAATTTTTCTGTGCAAACAAATCACTAATAATTACCCATTTTTTAGGAACACTTTAAATGTTTTTTATTAAATCATTACAAAGTATTTAAGGTTTAAATTCATTACAACATTAGGCGATGCATACAAATCACATGATATCGAAACACGAGTCATATTAAACAAAGTGTTTGTCATTAAAAGATGAGATTTATGAATGCGGTCTAACGTTGCCATCAGTGGTCGCTTTGCCAATTGATCCGCTGATGTCTTCGGGTGCCGTCTATTTGGACCTCTCCCTCATCTTCCTTCTCTTCCGCTTCAATCTCCTCATACGCTTCTTCCGCCACTAAAACACCATTCAATGCAAATCAGATATTAATTCATTAGTCAAACCATTGACAACCAATTCATTATGGTTTTAGTCAACACACCTTTGCTCTCATATCGGATCCGAAAACTAGACTTAGATTTCGGTCAAAAAGTTGGTCTCAATTTGTTGACTGACTTCAGACAAAATGAATGTTTGAATGAATGCTTGAATAGTGAGAGGAAAAGGAAGTCTCAAACGCTTTGTATTACTCGTCACTCCTTTACTGCATATAACGGACACTCAATTACGGCCTTATATTCACACAAACATTGCCTTCAATTGTATGGAAAAGCTATTAATGTTTGAACACATCATTCATGACTGCAATCGTAATCTCGAGAACCAATAGTTGTCAACAAAATTGTGTTTTGATTTGGATTTTGCGGCAAATGTTCACTCATTTTGTGTTTACACTGAAAATCGTTTCATTTGTTTGTGTTTTACAACGAGTTTTGAAATCAAACCAAACGTAATGTCGAAACCGACGGGTCTTTCGAGAGTACGACGAAAGGGAAAAGCAGTCAAAGAGTTGGCAATTGTGCCGAAAGTGGTATCATTTGTTTGTGTTTTACAACGAGTTTTGAAATCAAACCAAACGTAATGTGCTTTGGCTGCCCAGAAAGCTCTCATGCTGCTTTCCCTTTTCGTCAGTTTCTCAACCGTTAACACGGCTTTCACCACGGTTTCTTACCTAGTTTATCAGCTGTTAATAGAGTGCAAAAAAGCCTAAACGATTTGTCCGACATTTCTGTTAACAATGCAAATGAAAACAACGTTTCCTTTAAATCAACAAAAATAGTGATCAATGAAGACATCAATGAAGAGTCGGTTGAAGACAACAGCAATGAATCGACGAAATGGCCATCACTTGAATGTGTGGACAAATCCATCAATGGTTTCAATCCATGTCTTGAGGACACGAACGCCTCGACATCTGTCACATCGTTTACGAAGTCATCGATGGTTTCAAACAATAGTCGTATAAATGAAAGCAATAGTAATAGCAATAAAAGGAAGAACTTGTCGGTAGTCTTCGATGACATCGATTTGAGTGATTTGAACATCAATTTCAATCAAACCAACGCCTCCTTCAAGAGCTCTCGAAAAGTGTTTAAAACTGACATTAATTTTGTGGACAAAACAGACATCGATTCCAATGAAGACAATAATAATAAGATGTGTTCAGTGTTTAATGACATCGATTTGAGTGATTTGAACCAAACCTCACATCTTTCGGCCATTTCTTTTCAAAGCTCCAGAAAAGTGATCAAAACTGATGAGTCGATTGATAAGGAGTGCAATGAAAACAATGGACACCAAATAGACATTGATT